TGACATGAGCCAACCTGGATGTCTCATGTCGAATAGATAAGTTACATTTTCTTCCGAAACTGAGTACATAATTGTTTACTTGAGGGGCGGAAGTCAGCGTCACGATAGATGTGCTTTTGAACAAGCTCAGAGCGAGTTATAGCACAAGTAAACAGCCTCATGGAACCCATACCTACGTAGAGCGGCAAAGTAGAGAGTTCACGCACCCCCGTTCAGCGTAAGAAAAAAATTGACAATTATGAAGAGTGGGGCGAAGCATTCGTCCGTTCATACGTTCTTGCTTCCGTCCATCCATGCGTCCGTCTGTGTGACCGTCTATGCGTCCATCCGTCCGTCCGTGCGTGCGTCTGTTCGTGCGTCCGACCCTGCGTTCGTCCATGCATCCACCCCTGCGTCCGTTCATGCGTCCATCCATGCTACTGTCTGTGTGTCCATTCATCCATCTATTCAACACTCCAAGTATCACCATCTCGCATCTTTTCATCATGTATTCCCCATATAGAAGCACCGCCGTCGGACATTCCAAGGACTAAACGAGGGGTGGCACAAGCACACTTTCTTACAGCTTGAGCTTCGGGTCTCTTTCCCATCTTTAACCACCTCGAGTTCATGGTATATACTAGTTCGCTGTATTCATGGCACCGCGGCCAAACACTCGCTAAACCTTTCTAAAACCAAAAAGGTTACGCCCAGCGAGTAAAACGTAGCAACCTTTTCCTGTCAGATAGTGCTCAATGTACATGCTAATGGCTGCTAATGGGAAATGAGAGACAGGAGAATTCGGCTTTTACTTTCATACGGCTTGCGCTTCGTGTCTACTTCCCACCTTTAACCACCTCGAGTTCATGGTATATACTATAGTTCATTGTATTCATGGCACTGCGGCTCAACGCTCGCTAAACTTTTATAAAACTAAGGAGGTTACACCCAGCGAGTATAACGTGGCAACCCTTTCTCGCAAGATAGCGCTCAATGTACATGCCAATGGCTGCTAATGGGGATCGCAGCGTGCGCGTTAACTAAAAGCCGAATGCTCCTGTCTCTCATCCCCCATGAGCAGCCATTGGCATGTACATTGAACACTATTTTTTATTGTTCAAGAACACACAGAAGAAATCTCTCACCGGCACCACCTTGGTGGTCAAAATGTCAAAATGTTATACTTTTTACACACTACAACGGCTACGAGGGACGAACTGGTGCCGTTATAAGGAGCTTCGCCCCTAAAATTAATTTGCTTTAAGACTTGAGCTTACGTATTCTTATGTCTCAGTTACGTCCAAATAATACAGCCCTCGCCCCGAGATAGTGCCCTGCATTCAATCAATACCTGAATTTGCTTGATTCGCAGGCCGCTGCCATAAACCTTCGACCCACTGAAGGGTAAACACTGCGTACGCTTATGAATGTTCTTACGAGTTCACACTCCCCACTCGAAAAGCGAAGGTGGTGGCCGTGCATTACTGAAGCGGAACAAAGCACCACAGCAGTAAAATTCATGGAAAAGAGTTGCGTAACTTGAAACACGTCGTAACACGCATGTGCATTGGCGTATGACGCCCAAATACTGAGACGACGGCAACACGGAAGAAAACAGAGCGGAAGACGACAGCGACATTGTCTCTTTCTTCCTCAATTTGTTGTGACTGCTTCATTTTTTCTTCTCCAGTTCATTCATCATCCTCAAGGTGCAGTCTCAATTTCGGTCTTTTACGACGAAACAGGGCTCTGTCACAGCTAAATTCAGCACAAACCAGGTTGTTCAAAAGTGTGTACCTAAATTATGTCTCATTCACCATTATAGTATTGGTATACTACGTGCAGTCTTAAATGATCGCCTACAAATTTACATCAGCACACAAGCCCACAGCCTCAAGGTAAAGCACATGGAAGTACAGCCCAGGAATATTTGCGTATATTTACCGATTTAGTTGAAGAGGCTGACATGTCACCTTTGTGCGTGTAACACAATGAGTTAATGCACGTGACACTTTCCTAGACACTTTTCCTGAGTGTTACACTGCTTTTACGATACAAACATAGGCCGGCATACTCACTCATGTGTCGACTCACGCATACTCACTCGTACTTGGGCGAGTGAGTTCGGCTGATGAAAATTTTGGTGATTCCAAGTATGAGTGAGTCGAGTGTAGGAATATCATGATGAATGTAAGTCCGAATGAAATACAATGCAAGATAATTGTTAAGCGAGTCTAAATGAGCTTTAATTTTTTTTGCTGGCCTACGCATACAGCACATCAGAATATAAAAGCTGTAGTAATAATAGAAACCATTGTATATACAGCCATCTCATGAAAGGAGTCATGTAAAATCTAAAAAAAAATAGAGAATCCTTACGCTTCGCCTTTAAGAGTTGAACGAGATAGCGACATCCTGTTCCTAGTGCGTTCTTCAATTACTTGTTATATGAAATCTTTTCGAACCTAATATGCACCCGCTATGTGACCTTAAGGCAATGGGTGCAGTAATGTCTTCAAGTTTCAAGTCTCGAGTTTCAAGCTTATTTCAATTGTTAGTACAGAAAAGGGAACATCGTACAAAGTATAAATACAAGAGAAGTTTCGAAAGCACGAGGCTGCAGGGGAACCTCTTGTTCAAAGTTTGATAACAAAAGTTACTGGATTAGCAGTAGCAGTGAAAAAAGGAGAGATGAGTAAATTGATAAAACTAACACTTACTAAGAAACAAATAAAGAAAAAAAGCGTCATTGACAATATAACAGGAACAAAGACGTAGTAATTATTCGAGTACAAAAACAATTCTTTTTTTTTAAATAAACTAATGATCGACTATTGTTTAATGCCAGGTGGCGATAAATTCCATAAGGATCATGCTGAGAAATATTCAGTGTGGCGGCCAAAATCAGTACGGATAGTAGGTAGTAAACCATTTTCATTTGAAGCAAAAATAGTATGGTTAAAATTGGACAAAGCATTAGAATAAAAGACACTTGATTGTACAAGATGGTTCAGTGACTTGAACAGCATGATAATAAGATGCTATTTAAATAAACTCACAGTAGGAAGTATCGTGAATTTGCGAAGTAGTGATTATGCACTAGAACGATAATAACTGAAAGTTATCAGTGTAAGGGCTTGGTTTTGAATGCGCTGAATTGGAGGTAATTGGGTTAGGTATTTATTTCACCAAGTACTGATGTAGTATTTATTATGGCAGTGAATAAAAGCATGACATAATTTGATTACACTTGCAAAGTTAAAATAGGTACGTCCTCTGAATAAAATCCTAATACCAAATGCTAGTTTCTTGCGTAAGTGCATAACATGATTAGAGTACTTTGAGTTGAAGTCGAGAATGACTCCTAAGAAAGAGCATTCACTGTGGGCAGTAATGAGCAAGTCATTTAGTTTGGTAGAAATCCTGGAGGGAAGATCATTGTTGCTTGATTGAAATATCATGATCTTAGTTTTCGTAGGGTTAATACTGAGGGAGTAAGTAAGACACCAATTTAAGTGCTATTTAAATTGTTTTGTAATTTTAGCGTTTAGAGTCAATTGATCTATCATTAGCTTGTATCGTAGTGTCATCGGCATAAAGAAACGGTTGACACTTAGTAACTTAAAGGGGAAGATGATTCATGTAAATTAAAAATAAAAGTGGGCCATGAATAGACCCTCGAGTGACACGTTGATTAGTAGTGAAAGAATGTAATAATGTAGAGCGAACATAAACAGCCTGCAGTCTGTTGCAGAGGTAACTTTTAATGAGTGCTAGGGCAGGTCCAACAATACCAATAGCTGTGACTGTTTTCCATAATGCTCTAGTTGAGGGAGCAGAAACTTCGGTTAGCTTAATGAACAATGCTCCAGCTAATTTACCAAGAATCAATAAGTTTTCAGTCTTATCTGTGAAAGTTAACAATGCGAGATTGCTCTAGAAAGGAGGTAGGAAACCAAACTGATTAGGAGATAAAATGTAAAATTTAGACACGTAATTAGTGATGCGTTCCTCGATACACTTCTATAATATTTTACTGAAAGCTGATAGGATAGCTATGGGGCAATAATTATATATAGAACTTATCTCGCCTTTCTTCAGCACTTGTATTATTTTGTCCTGCCTTAGTTTCAATGGGAATGAACCCGTTTTGAAAATAGATCGATAACAGGGGATGGAGGTATGACAATATGGTTGGCGATTAGCTTAATGTTGTATGAGTGAGTTCCGTCAAGTCCAGGAGAGGTTACGCTAACATTACGAATAATGCTGATAATTTCATTAGGGTCTGTTGCGAAAAGGTAGAAAAACTTTCAAGAGCGGACCTAAGATTTATTTTACGATGGGGGTGGACTATAAGCTGCGCCTTTCGTAGTGAGTGACCGGTAATAAACGATTAAGTTGTGACGCTAATTACTATATTCTGACACCCGATGGCAATATAAGCTTGTACCACGCATTCAATATTTTATCTTGTATTGTGAAGCATGTATACAAGACGCATCTGATTTTAAAGAATGAGTTACTTTCACTGCATTTCCAAGCCGACGAAGTTATTTTCGATGTGTGCACAAGCAGATGCATGGCTGTGGGGTCGAGCACCCACTTGTCAAGCAAACGAGCTGGACTCTATCCCCACTCATACCCAGAAGTTTTTAAACATTATCTGCGTCTTTCTCGACTTTCTGGTTACGCACAATATAATGTTTCGCTCACAGACAACGACATCGACACTGACGCTGATGCCGACGCTAACGCCGGAATCGAGACGAAGCCAGCTGTTTAACGCTATCGAGTTAATACGCTGTCTCATATATTCCTTGTAGCGACATTATAATGCTACCAGAATTCAAGAAATTTCTGAACAAGCTGAATACCGACACTAGTAAGGCTATTATGACCTAATAAGAAGTCATAGTTTGATGCATAAAATGAGAGCGTATACAAAAATACCGAAGCAAAGTTTAACTTGGAGAAAAGCCGAATGCAATGCTCATGAAACAACAGAAGTGAACTGTTGCGAACTGAACTCTCCTACTTCTACGTCCCCCCCTTTCCCCCCTTCGTGTTTCTGTCGATGGCTGAAGCGATAGCCATTCCCGCCCCCCTTTTCCCCCTCTCCCTGCTTCGTAGATGAAGCTACAAAAGAAGCTTGCGCGAAACAATAAACGTTCACTCGTTGCCCTAGTCTGCGGTTGTCTGCGTATGCTTGCCGTGGCTGCCCGGCTAGCTATGTAACAGTGGCGACGAAGTCGGTTTTCGCTACCCACGGTACCTGACGGACTACGAGTCCTGGCGTCAGACGAACGAGGACCGACCACGATGGCCTCCCTGCAGTTGCCGGATTACGACGAAACGAAAGATAAGTGGAAGCCTTACCTCGTCAGAGCAGAAGCGTATTTCGAGGCGAACAGTGTAACGGACCCGGCTAAGAAGCGAGCACTACTAGTTTCGGCGTTGTCTAGTAAGACGGTCGAGGTGCTAGCCGGCAGAGTAGCCCCGCGTGCACCAAATGAACTGACATACAAGGAAGTCGTTCAGAGCTTGAATGAGTATTATGACCCTAAGAAGCACGAGATAACGGAAAGCTACAAGTTCTTCAATCGCTCACAACTTCCAGGCGAAAGCGTTAGCGCATTTCTCGTTGCTATTCGCCGAATAGCAGACAACTGCAATTTCGGCACGTCTCTTGACCGCATGCTTCGGGATCGCATTGTCTGCGGCGTACGCTCCGTGGCACTGAGGAAACAGATGTTGGCAAAAAAGGATTTAACGCTAGAAGAAGCCGAAGCATTGGCACTGTCTGTCGAAGCAGCTGAAAATGGTGCCGAAAGCATGACCTCAGAAGCTACGCCCTTGCTTAAGCTACGCGCGTCCGAGGCCAACACTGTTAAAACATCTCCGACTCGGCACGCGGCACAGCATTGTGATAGATGCGGAAGCAGCAAACACGACGGCAACAGCTGTCGTTGGATTAGAGCAAGGTGTTATCGCTGCGGACGTCATGGGCATCTCGCAAAGATGTGCCGCACAACCGCCAGTAAGAGCCGCGTCGCAACGCATGCAGTGGAGGGAAGAGCTTTGACTCTCGAAGAAGCCGTAACTGAAGACGACGATAAGGACGAGACACATATATGGACCTTACTTTCTGCACGAAAAAGCCGCCTCGAGCCGCCGATAAGGCGCAGTTTTTCATGGAATGGCGTACAACTTACAATGGAAGTAGATACTGGCTCGCCTGTCTGCGTAATTTCCAAAAACGTGTTTGACAAGCATCGCGAACAGTGGCCAGCGCTTAAACCTTCTCAGGTGAAGTTGTCATGCTACGTTGGACCACTCCCAGTGATGGGGGAATTGCAACTTTGTGTGCAATACAGGGCCGTCTCAGTTTACTGCCGTCTTATTGTACTGAACTGCTCGGGACCTAACCTGTGTGGCCGGGATCTGATTTCCTTGCTCCACAGAGCGGGGGTTCCAGTTTTGCAGCCGTCGGCACAAGACTTGCTACACTCAACGCCAGAACCCGCTGGGGCAGTTCACAACATTGTCGACGACTACCACGACGTCTTCTCCAAGGATCTTGGCCTGATCAAGGGGCCTCCAGCCACATTGCAGCTGAAAGAGGGAGCGGTGCCGAAATTCTGTAAGGCAAGATCCATACCTTACGCTCTAAGGGACAGGGTGACGCAAGAACTGGACAGGCTGGTAGCCATCGGTGTACTTTCACCAGTCCAACATTCCGATTGGGCCACTCCCATCGTGCCGGTACTTAAGAAAGACGGAACTGTTAGAATTTGTGGTGACTTCAAAGCCACCCTAAATCCAGCCTGTACAGTTGAGCAGTACCCTCTCCCAGTGATTGAAGACATGTTTGCATCTCTAAACGGCGGGGAGTATTTTAGCATTCTTGATTTGCGAGATGCCTATAATCAAGTTCCTTTGGATGAAGCCGCAAGGAAGCTCTGCGTCATTAACACGCACAGAGGCTTGTTTTCGTATAATAGGCTTCCCTTCGGAATATCCTCTGCTCCGGCTATTTTTCAAAGAAAAATGGATGCAATACTGTCAGGTTTGCCAGGGGTTCAGGCTTACCTTGATGATGTACTGGTTTCGGAGGCTCGTGGCGATGGGAGTGAACGCCTGAAGAGTGTGTTGCAACGGTTCCGTGAACACGGAGTTAAGCTAAGGTCTGATAAGTGCAGCTTTAGACAGCCTTCTGTCACATATCTCGGCCATCGGATAGACAGAGAGGGTCTTCATCCCACAGAGAAAAATTTGGAAGCGATCGCTCAGGCACCTCGCCCACAGAACGTGGCGGAGCTGCGTTCCTTTTTAGGAATGCTGACGTTTTATGCCAAATTTCTTCCAAATATGTCCACTCTACTTTCTCCGCTCAACAAACTTTTGGAGAAGGGCACAGTATGGCAGTGGGGGCGGCAACAAGAAGCTGCCTTTGAGAAAGCAAAAGACAGCCTAATGCAAGCTCAGGTTCTTGTTCAATTTGACCCGTTGAAAGAGTTGAAGCTCGAATGTGATGCTTCCCCTTACGGTGTGGGCGCGGCGCTTTTTCACACGAGTAACGGCATGCCAAAACCCATTGGGTTCCGGTCCCGTACACTGACGGCCGCCGAGAAAAATTACTCTCAGCTGGAAAGAGAGGCCCTGGCTTTAGTGTTTGGCGTCACTAAGTTTCGTGATTACCTTTTAGGTCGCCAATTCACTCTCGTGACGGACCACCAGCCCCTCTTGAGCTTGTTGCAATCCGACCGCCCGACGCCACCCCTGGCTGCAGCACGTATCCAGCGCTGGGCACTGTACTTGGGTGGCTACCGCTACAAGCTGCAATACACGCCGGGAAAACAGTTGCTCAACGCGGACGCCCTGAGCAGGCTGCCACTGCGGTCTACGGAGGCTGATGACGTGGGTGAGCCACCGGAATATGTCCTCGCTCTGGATAATTTTGACGATGGCGTTATCACAACACGGGAGCTACAGCAGCTATCGGCCACAGACCCCGCAGTAACGGCGGTAAAGAATTGTATATTACATGGCTGGCCCAAAAGTGCAAAACAGCTGGAGGAAACGATGCGGCCGTTTTTCGACCGCAAACTAGAACTGTCCGTAGCCCATGGTCTAGTGTATTGGGGGCATCGCGTAGTGATACCGGAAAAAGCGCGGGACCGTCTTTTGAAACTGTTGCACGAGACCCACCAAGGCTCGTCAGGAATGAAAGCAGTGGCAAGGTCAAAATTTTGGTGGCCCCGACTAGACCGCGATATTGAAGCGCTTTCAGCCGGCTGCACGAACTGTGCCCAAAACATGCCAATGCCGGCAGCGGCACCACCAGTAAACTGGCCGAAAACCAATGAAAAATGGTCGCGGCTACATGTCGATTTTGCCGGACCCATAGCAGGCAAGATGATTCTAGTTGCAGTAGATGCCCATACCAAGTGGATAGAAGCCGTGCCAGTAAAGCATGCCACCACAACAAGCACAATCACCTGTCTGCGCGCCATGTTCAGTCGATTCGGCGTCCCGCGAACCATTGTTTCGGATAATGGGACACAGTTTTCTAGCCAGGATTTTGCTACGTTCGTGGCAAAGAACAACATAATGCATCTGAAAACGGCGCCCTTTCATCCACAGTCTAATGGAGCGGCAGAACGAGCAGTGCGTACAATAAAGGATGGACTTCGGAAGATGAGGGAGGGTAATTTGGAGGACAACCTTGTGCGGCTCCTGTTCAACTACAGGAGAACACCACAGAAGACGGGAAAATCTCCGTCAGAATTGCTGCTAGGGTTCCAGTTACGTTCACGATTGGATGCGTGTTTTCCCTCAACTGTTGCAGACTCGCCGCCGGCATCAGATGACTGGGTGGTCCCCATAGAAAGCAACGTGTACGTGCGGAACTACGGTGTCGGAGAAAAGTGGACACCAGGGCGTGTGCAGTCCACTGCAGGATCCCGAATGGTGACCGTCCAAACTCCTCATTCTGTAGTCAGACGCCACGTTGACCAAGTGCGCCCTCGACAAGCATCGCAGTCCCCATCGCCGGGCTCTGCATCCTTATCAGAGTCTAATATGTCCATGCTGCCGAAACGATCGCCGGGGCCCTCAACTACAAGCTCCACCGTGCTGCCTCCAGAAGCGCTCACTACCGCAAGCCCCCACGACCATCCAGTGCCAACCATGCCACAGGCCGGTCCTACACAAGCGGCGACCCCAAGCGCGGAACCAGTGCTTCGGCGTTCTACCAGACAACGCAAGCCAGTACAACGGTTCCATTTTTAAGAAGAGAGAAGTGTTGCGAACTGAACTCTCCTACTTCTACGTCCCCCCCTTTCCCCCCTTCGTGTTTCTGTCGATGGCTGAAGCGATAGCCATTCCCGCCCCCCTTTTCCCCCTCTCCCTGCTTCGTAGATGAAGCTACAAAAGAAGCTTGCGCGAAACAATAAACGTTCACTCGTTGCCCTAGTCTGCGGTTGTCTGCGTATGCTTGCCGTGGCTGCCCGGCTAGCTATGTAACAGTTCGAATATTATTCGAGATGGCAGGGAGCATGTGAATGCATAAATAACAGCGACTGCAATTTCAAGCTCACAGAAGCGGCATTATTGGTGATTTAAATAGTTATTGTCCAATATCCTGTCACCCATATCTCGTAAAGACAAATGAAGAATGGATAAATACGTGCATCAGAAAATATTACCAAAACCGTAATTCAATATAACAAGATTTCTCCACTATGAACTACGCAAGAGCCACTAAGAAGCGGTAAACATCACACAAACAAAACTTCTATAAATAAAACATTCTTCTTAAGTCTCCCTTTCCTTGCGTAAAACATTCGGTTTCAGTGACCGTCACGTTAAAGTTTCAAATCAGGCAGCCATTGAATTTCTGGAGTTGTATCAGTTATTTAAAAGCTGTTTATCGTCATCATATCACTTTCTCAGAATATATATGAATTTTCCGTGAAAAAAAAAAGGAGTACCACGTGGGTTGGTTTTAGGCCCGCGCATTTCTCTTATGTATGTATATGTTTGATACACCTCAAATTGAGTGTTTGTGAACGGCATCCATTTATCTGTCCAAGATTTCACCATTCAGAAAATAGAAGGATCAACTTATCTACACCTTTCGAAACATTAAGTTTGGCTAACAAAAAAATAATTAGTGGAACAACCAAGTTTGGTACGTTCTAATCCAGTAAGATGTGCATTAGTGGCAATATGGTAATTTCTTTCCATCATCAGTATCGAAAACACCTAGGAAGGAAGGAAGCCAAGGGTGGGTTCCCATGCTGACCGTAGACGGTTAAAAAGACCGCTTAGTGGACAGCGGAGATCTCAAGTCCCATTCCAATTCTCACGCAGCCTGCAAAATAAATAGCTTCGAGAAGACAGCAGCGTAGACAAATACGATGTGCGCTACTTTACTGTCCAAACAAGATGGCAGCTCAACGAACTTCTCGGCTCTCGCCAGAATTGTCGCCTGCATAGAAGCAGGCACTTTTCCGGACGCTCATTAAGAGTAATGTTCAAATTTTAGTACATCTGTACACAAAAAAAATTAAAAAAAATTAACAGTGTCGTTTGTTAATCTTAGCTTTCTCTTTTCGACGCTATAGGTAGCGTCTCATCACGTAAACGCCATCCAGACGCATTGCATTTCTCGAACAACACGAGCGTGATGCTGTCTTCTAAGCTGCCATCGTACACTGTCTACAATGCTGTCTAGAAGTGGACCACAGCCAAAAAAGAGAAAACAGGAAGGTGACAAGAAAGACTTTTGATTTACTACCCTACAGTAAACTAATACAATGTTGAAAGAGAGAGGGGGCAGGTAACTTGACTTTATATTAAAAACTGAGCAATATAAACGCCACCTTTATTCATCCCATCTCTCGACTAACCTTATGCTAAATTCATAGACGTTTGGATAGAACTATGCTTGTATACTTCGCTGCCCTTAATATTTTCTTTCTTGCATCAAACCATATTCAAATGGTAAATTGTCCAATTACGCCAATACGTTTTTTCATGCACAACTTTTTGTAAGTAGCAATAACGACTTGTTTTCGAAGTGCATATTGTTTTCAAAGCGTACATGGGTAATGAAATATTCACACGATGTGGCTTTAACCCAAGAAAATCCTATGAACCTCGTGAAACGTATTTTATTTATACGATGCTGGCTCGGCTGATGCTTGCTGTATGGTTCATCAAGTTGCCAGGACCTCATCAGGGATTTTCACTCATAGGTCCAGCATGGACATTTGGCGTTGTTCTTGCAAACTAACAACGTATAATATTCATCGAAGAGTGCGCACTTTACACACCAAGCTCTGGGAAAGATAACGCGTATATTACTTTTTTCAGTATTAGGGATAGGGCGTCAACAGGCACGTTGTCTAAAAACAGAGCCGATAGTAACGGATTACATAAAGGGAGAGCCTCCACCGTCAATACACTTATTTCAGCCATTACATATGTCACACACCTCTTTCATGATACCTGTCAACGCAAGCAGGCGTGCAGCTATTGTTTAAGCCTCCACTATAGAAAACACTAGCTTCCCTGGGCTGGTCACGAAGGCGCCATAGCCATCAGGCATCAGAAAGAGCCTATAATGTATCTCTTTGACTTCAGCGAGTGGCCATCCATCAAGCCACTAAACGATAGGGACGGCGGAAAGCAAAGAATGTACAACGGATTGAGCTAGAGGCTACGCACCTACGCATTCAAGCAGTATGACACGGCAACTCCGCATGAAGTTACCCGTGGGGGGATGTAACGGAAATGTTTTTTATAGTCATTTGCTTTTACTGATGTGTTACGCTATCATGTGACCGGAATTATTATCTGCCGTAGTTTCTGTAGTGTAGATAGCGCTATTGGTACTAGCCATAGTTGAGTCACTTATGAAATATCCGTGGCAAAAAAAATTCAGACAACTACTGGTAGCATTATTCATAGTCTACATACAAAATAAATCACGTCAACTCACGGCAGCACATATTTTTCCCCTCGTGTGCGTGGTTTATGGTGAAGCGGGCTGAAGGGCGAGAAATTTGACACATTCATGTTTCTTCACCGGAATGCCTAGCTAACTCATGGTAATTAAGTTTAACTGTTCACCTGTAGCTGAAACGGTGGAACTGTGTGGCGTGAAATTCATATTGCATTTTGTTTTTTGAATAACATTAAAAAGTAGGAATTTTTGTGGTTTCACGTCCAGGCATAAAACTATGAAAAACTTAGTTTTCTTTTAATTCTAGAATGAAACGAGTTATTTTTCACTGTGACTTGTTATCGACATATTCTGGCGTTTTCACCGAGGAAATCATTTAATTAAAAATACTGTTCACAAATTAAACAGATTCATTATTCATTACGGTACGCTATCGCAAATGTTTTGACAATATCACTGGCCAACAGCAGCATAATTATTTACAGTGATACGGAAAGCGTAGGAACTATAATGTCGCGCAATAGTAATATGGTTAACAATTCCGGTACACTTGAGTCCATTATAAACGAGGTGTGTTGGAAAAGTATTGAGACAGAGTTGGTACGGTCCAAAGCTTTCAGTTTTTTAAACAACAATGTCGCTCCCTTCAATGCAGTTCCCTTGAGCGGCGTAGGTGTTCACACTCTTGGTCGCAGAGCTGGACGTCTTCAAATGGTGTGCTTTTAACTGGTCGGTCATATATATATATATATATATATATATATATATATATATATATATATATATATATATATATATATATATATATATATATATACGTATTCTTTGAATGTTTTCCAAAGCTATAAAATGACGCCATTTCATAATATGTTTCAATATCAGGAAAAAAATGCCACAAACACTCAAATCACGTGAATATGAATTTGGGAACAACAGTAACGCATTTTGGGGTTGAAAATTCAATGATGGAAAGGGCCATGTGACACGGTGCACTATCACAATGAAGCATCCACTTGTCTGCAATGTCTCTCAGAGTGAGGGTCATCTGCAACGTTTTGCAGACCTTTCAAAACTGAATTGTGGCGGCGGGAATCTTGTGCTCTTGGTAAAGAATAAAGAATATTTGTTTCAACTTTTCAAAAGTCATAGTCACGCATTCACAAGTTAAACCCAAAAACTTAACGGCACAGCGTTGCTCGAAATTCCAGTGCTCTATTTCTCTAACACATATCAAAAACACAGCTTCACTTATGGCGTGGTGAAAACTGCTGTGTTTGCCTGTGCTCGCGTCTTTGTGTGTGTGAGTTTGAGGGTGTGTGCACATGTGTTAGGGTGTCTCTACGTGTGTCTATGTGAGTGGGTGAGTGTTTCCTCGAGCATATGTGCATGTGCGTGCGTGCGTGCGTGCGTGTTTGTGTGTGTGGGCGTGTGCGTGTGTGTGTGTGTGTCTGTGTGTGCGTGTGTGTGTGTGTTTGTGTGTTTGTGTGTGTGTTCTCATTTTAACTTCAAATCCTACCAGAAATGCATTCTGTAGTCATTTTCGTGTCTTAGTTTCACTAATACAGATCACAGTGTACGTCATACAAATTTCAGATTACCTGAATACATGCTCATGCACATGCAACGGCATATTTTATAGATAACATGAATGCCAGCGAATGTGCGAAGCAGGGGTCCGAAAGGGCACATGTTCGGTATCGTTGCCATATCTTTCGATGTGCTTATCATGTAGTTAGGAGTTGTTAATCTGCTCTATTGTGGCAAGATAAATTTATTTTGTGTTTGTTTTTTTATAGAATGAAAGCAACGTGTCACGGCTGAAAAATCTGAATCTGTATATGTGGAATCTGACTGTCAAGGACAGAATGATCGAAAGTACGTAGAGAGCAGGAATTTTTTTTTCACCATAATACGTGTTTTGTGTTGAAACTGTTTGCAGAATACATCCCACGTAAAACATGCTGTGAAGGTCTTCTATCAGGCAGCTTAAAAACTTCCAAACGCCGATATGACTTACGTTCGGTGCAGGCGAGAATGTTAACAGTCATGGTGAATATACCCCTCGAAAAAAAACAATTGGTTAAGAACATTTTCAAGCTCCATGCGAAACACTAAGTATGGTCACTCAAAAAATTGTTGGGCCGCCATAGTGTAGTAGTGGTTATGGTGTTTGGCTGCTGATCCGAAGGTTGCGAGTTAGATCCCGGCCGTGATGGTCACGACGCAGGCAAAATGGTGAACGCTCCTGTACTTTTATATCAGCGCACGTCGAAGAACACTCGATAGTCGCATTTTCCGGAAACTTCCAGTACGGCGTCTTTGATAGTGTTTTTCAAACACAACATCCCAGATATTATTGTAAAAATGTTGTTTACAACACGCATGTTTGAGAGGACACGGCACTTGTCTGATGAGCAAGATGTCTAAAACACCATTGCTGCTATTGTAGATGCTGCCATGGTTTTTCATCGGTATATGCCTGCGGAAGACGACGGAGGCTGCTCTTTCATCATCGATGCGCAATGCTACGGGAGTGCAAGCTTGGAGTGCG